GATATTTGATATGTGAATGGAAATTATAGTAACATTTTTCACATACACAAAAGATTCTTAAACATTTTGTAAAAATTTTAACAGAATTTTTTTATAAATAAAACCTCTTAAATCTCTACAACAATCATTTACAGACAAATTACTAATACTGAGCTTTGATTGTCGACAATAGATAGTCAATACAAATTTACAAACTAGAATCACATCTATAGTTAATGTATAACACCTAAATTAGAGTCTCAAAATAAAATATATAATTGAATATATACATCAAAAGAAAAGGTGTTCTCAAAATAAATATTCACCCAACTCAATGACAATCCTTTCAACGATCGACAATAGGTTCAGTATCAGCAAATAAATTCAAGACTAAAATATTTTTTTAGTAAATAGCATCCTAAAAAATATAAAATTTAAAAGAGTAAAAATAAAAAACTCAAACAATTATGTAAAATAATTGAAAAAATGATAATTCAATATAATAAACTCAATAAATATGTAAATCTTAATCATAATCATAAAATGAGAGTGTACTGAAATTGCTTTATTCTATCATACCTGAAGAAATAAATTATCTATATGTAAATTAAATTAGTACACTTGCTAATTGAAATCATTGAAATTTCAAATTAACAAGTCAATTAAAACTTTAAAATTTTAAGGTCTTAACAAAACAAGTAACAAACATAAACACACAGTTCACGAAGGTAAATAATCAAACATGGCTTATGCCACAAAAACAAATATGGATACACATCCACGAGAGTAAGTAACCAAACACAATCAGAGCTATGAAACAAATGTGGACCCATAGTTTACGAGAGTAATACTAACTAAATGTGGCTCGAAGCCACAAAAACAAATGCAGGTGTTAAACCCACGAATATCAAATATGAGAACAAAGCCCACGAAAATCAAACAAGCTAGTTATCATTCATAGCGTGCTATGGGCTAACGGAATTGTCGTTAGCAACAGTGTTCTGTTTAGAGTCCTTTTAAAAAATACATTTCAAACATGCAAGAAAAATAATCATTTCTAAAATAAAATTTTCATTATCAATGCCAAACTCACATGAATTATTTCAAATATCAAAACATACCAAAATAATACTTCATAGCCAATATACAAGCTTGCATTAATTGAGTAACCAAGAAATTTCAGAGTTCAATAAATGAAGATGCCTTCATCAATCTTGAAAGTATATTTCTTAATGAAAAATACATGCATATATCATAATCTAATTATCCTTCAACATGATTCTATAATTTTCAAAACTAAAATAATTTAATTAACAAAGAGCTCAATATTCATCATAGTTGTTAAAAAATGATTTATATAAAAAAATAATATTTTCAATAATAGACTACTTTTATTAGTAAAATAATGGAGGTGCTATTCACTTACTTGGTAAATTTCTAAATAAACAATTCATTCCAAACCGGTTCTCCTATCACAATGCTTGGTCACCAAATCCTAATACCTAAATAGCACCATTTGTTATGTTCTTTTATAGATTTTCATTACTCGAGATCTTCAATTTAAAATAACTCACAAAAATAATACAAATTTTAACTTCAACCCCTCCTCCAACATTGCATCAAATATTCCATAAATATTCAAGAGACTGATTCGAATAGCAATTTGGTACTTGAATTACCAATAAAAGTATCCTTTTCAAAAATCTCTATTTCCATTTTCCAACATACACTAAAATTATTTCAATCAAATATTTTGTCGAGCATCTTTTATGCATCAAAATTTCAAACAAATACCAAGCTTCCTCCTTCTTAGTTCCCTTTTCCAAAAGAAATTTCAAATAACAATATTCAGACTAATCAAATTTCGCAAAGTCTACCCTTCAGCAAAAAACATTAGTTCTAACTTCAAAAGAAAAATACCCATTAGTCTCCATTGACAGTAACCCAAGACAAACTATATTGAAATTAATTCAGTTTACTCAATTATTTTTGTTTTCCCTCTCTTCCTTTTTTTTCTCACCACGGACCTACGGTAGCCAAGAAAACAGAGGAAATAAAAAAAATTCTAAATCTCAATCACTACTGCCTATCACGCACAGTAGCCAAAAAAAAAAAGAAGGAAAGAGCACAGCCCAACCATATAACACATTCTCACGGGATCAGGAAGGATGAAGAGAGAAGACTCTCACCTCAAGTTAGCAATGGCAAAAGTAGGATGAAGAACAGGAGTGGCAGAGGCAGAAGAAGAGCGTCGGCAAGATAGGGGAAGAGGGATGATCACAAATCTGGACCTTCTGCAACTACAAATTAACTCTAACAGCATGGAATTGAAGAACCCCAACACGACACTATCGGAGGAGGAAGAAGAACAGTGACCGAAGGGAGGACGAAGGGAGAAATCAATGGTGTCCCAAGGAAGAATACTCACGGCTCAGTCTCTCACAGCGGCGGACAGAACTCCTGACCTCATCCATGGCAGTGACGTTGAAGACGAAGAAGGAGATGGAGGAAGAGTAGAAACCAGAGCCTAAGGTCCGAACACTCCCTCTTCCTCTCGCACTGTCTGGAAAATTCGAAAATGAAGGAGCATAGGAGAACAATCCTGATGTGCATGTTCTGGTTCTAATTTGCCTCTTTTTATTTTATTTTATTTTAAAGATATGACAGTAATTTCACCTAGACTAAAGGGGAATAAAAATCCTTCTATACCCAGGCAGATTCAAACTCAAAGCCCATGCATAAAAATTCAAAGTCATTGCCATCAATTTACTCTTGTTAAACTATCCCAAATCATATATTAAAACAAATATATAATTAAAATGCCTTACCATAAATTTCAATTAAATTTTTGAGTTATTACAATTTAGCTGCAAATTTTTTCACAAGCACCCATTATCTTGAACTATTTGTATTGGAATAATTTTACTTTTTAAAATAATTAAAATATAATAATATATTATAATAAATCTATTTGACATATATTATAACTTAAATCTATTTGACATGATAGGTTCTATTTTTTTGTCAAACTTAAGTTCTAGTTAACCTTTTTTATAGTTAATATTGAGATATTTAACATTAATGCTGTGCTTGCTCGTTGAGGAAAATATAAAAGAGGGAAAATGAGATGAGAGAAAAGTAAAAAGATGCAACTTTTATTGTGCTTGGCTAAGCGGGAGAAAATGAGGTGGAGAGAAAAGTTGTTAATTTTATATAGACAATAATAACTTTATTATTTATAAAAATATTTATATAATAAATTTAATATTTTAATATATTATATATATAATAAGTTTTATCATATGTTATTGACTGAAAAAAGCATAATTAAAAATTAATTTATCCAATACTAACAAAAAAAATATTTTATCCACTTTAAAATTTTATTTATTAAATTATTAAAGATATAATAATTTAATAAATATAAGGTATTTAACTGGAAATTAAATTAAAAATTCAGAATTAGCATTTGTCTAAATTAAATATACTACTTATTTAACAAAAGTTCATAATTAAATGTAATTACACTACAAATACCAAGATAAAAATAAAGGGAAGAAAGGGGTGGTAGTAAAAAAATTAGTAGGCAAATTTGAAAATAAAATTTTCTTTTCAAAATCTCCCCATATTTGAGGAGAAAAGTTGGAGGTAAAAACATGTGACTCACATATTATTTTCCTCCCATGGCTTTGCTCCTTCCAAGCTTTCCTTGGAGGAGTGTCTATTGAGCCCCCTGATCAAATTTAGACCTTTTAGATTAATTTGGATCTTTTAAATTTAATATATTTTTTTTATTTTTATTAAAAAATTATAATTTTTTTTAAAAAATTTTGTTTTCAATTTGGATAGCCTAGATTTAATATCAATAATTTAAATTTAATATTTAATTTTTATAATTTTATAAATTAATTATTTAGATGTACAGTTTGATATAAAATATTTAACTTGAAATTTTTTAAATATTTTTTTAAAAATACTTTTTAATAGATATTTGCACTATCCAAAGGACATATAGATAATTAATTTATAAAAAATTTTAATATTAAATTTGAACTATTTATATTAAATCTATACTATTTAGAGTATGTCTATCTAGATAATTGATTTATAAAAAATTAAATATTAGCTTTTAACCATTAATATTAAATTTAAGCTGTCCAAATTGATAACAAGATTTTTTAAAAAATTTATAACTTTTATAATTTTTTATTTTAATAAAAATAAAAAATAAAATATTAAATCTAGAATCTAGATGATCTAGATTTGGTTGGGGGACTCACTAGATGCTCCAATGAGGAAAGCCCTAGAGGAGCAGAGCTAAGTCCCTTTTTATCTGCCTTCCATTGTTTTCTTCATAGCCAAGTAGAAGTAAATGTTATTTTCTTCTTCCCTTCACTTTTCTCTCCTACTAAATATAACATAAGGACAAATATGATATATTTTAATTATTTTAAAGATAAAATTATTATAATATATAATTTAAAATATTGGGTACTCATCAAAAAATAAATTTATTGGTGTTTTCTTAATCCATAACTATGACCCACCCTTGATTCTGTACACTTCTTTTCAATAAAATAGTAATAAAGTTATCCATTAACCGATTGTTAAAAGGGGCATCAGGAACACGCCCCTGGTAACTACCGACATAAAGGATTAGCCGAACAGATGGATCTAAATTCCATAAAATCACATCCATGAATTTTTGTGAAGTTTGTCCTTTTAGTACTTTTTATTTTATTATTTTTTATTAAGTATAAAATATGATAACTCAAAAATTTTAAGTAAAAGTATATAAGTTTACATTTTAATAATAATTATACTAGCTTTATGACAACAAGAAAAGTTGTTACAGTGGCAATAGAGTAAACGTCTCCCCATTTGGGCCCAAGTTCGAACCGAAAGAGGCCCATAAGTGGTCTTATTTTTCTGTCTTTTTATTACATGAAATTACAGAATTGCCCTCCTTCAAATCAGATAAAAATCTTCACTCCTTCGATTTTTCCAGACGCAGCAGAGAGAGAGAGAGAGAGTGAAGGATGCTCTAAGATTTCATTCCTTCTTCCTCCTTCGAACCTTGGCAGTTTTTCCTTCTGTTTCCGTCGTTGCTGTCGCTAGTGTGAGTAACCACCCTTGCTTCAATCGTCCGAAGTTGACAAGTGCTTAAGTTCGTTTGTTGCTGCTGTGCGTCTGCAAGATCTCTTCATTCTCCCCTGTTCCAGCTCATATCTACTGTGATTTGTTGAGCTGCTACTCTTCTATTACCGTTGTTGGAGACTTGGTTGATCAGAAATTTTACTTTTGCTCCTCCGTTCGTCCGTGCGTCACTGTAGATGTTGCTGTTAGTGTGTGGAAATTTTTATCTTCCTCTGCCGGTGCGTGTAGGAATTTTCAGGTTAGAAACTTGATCTTATCTCCTTCCTCGGAAACATTTCTGTGCGTGTGAATGGATGAAGAGATGGGGCTGATGCTGAAAAATTATGTCCTGTAGATGCTGCTGTTGATACACGAATTTTCTTCCATAGTTTCGATTAGCTTTCTTCTGCTTGTTTTCTTGGGTTTTCTTTATGGTTGCTGATTCATGTATGAAATTTTATACCTTCATCTTGCTAATTTTCTGTGCGAGCATTTTAATGGTTGAAGCTATAGAATTTTGGTGTGTTTGGCTGCTGCTCGTGTGTCTCAGAGAATAACAAATTCAAATGTTGAGCTGAAAATTCATCTTAAAGCTTGATACTAATCTTTATATAGTCATAATTTTTGGAATAAATTAATTTGGTTTGAATGATTGATGTTGAAGAATTTGGTAAAATGAAGTTGAAATAGAAGAGGTTAGATATGATAATGAGAGATTAGTGTCTATAAGATGCTTATTAAATGTTTGTTAGAAGAATTGAATTTGACTTTAAAATTTCATAAATTCTTGTGGGAAGTAGAGCTAGCTTAGAAGTTATTAATCTATAAATTTAACTTGAAAGGTGCAAAGAACATTTGATTATGAAATTAATATTGTATGATTATTGAAATTTTTGGAGACCGATACTTTGTTGAGAAAATACTTAAAGGCTAGAGTTCTTATGAGGAGATTGGAAAGGATATATATTTGGTGTCTTGACAAAATGTTGATGAGAAATATATTTTTATATATACCTTCGGTTTAAATTTTCAAATTTATTATAGTTGATTAGTGCTGGAAATGTTAAAAAGAAATTATTGTACTAGTTAAGGGTTGAATAGAATTTTAATATGATTTATAAGATATTTGAAGGAGGAGAAATTTGATTAACAGTGAGAGGTGAATTTTAGTTCTGGGAATTTTAGATAAGTGGATACAGTTCCAACTGATATTTTTTTTAATCAAAATTTCTTTTACTAGAATATTACATTTTTCAAAAAATTATTTTAATAGTATTAATGCGATTATTGAATATTTATTGATTAACATTACTTTATTTTGAAAAATTAGCTTTACCAAATTTGAAATGTTATTTGATCAATTAAATCAAGTTTGGATTTTGATTATGAGATTTTTATTTTATCAAATATTGGATTGATACAGAGAATGATTCCTGCGAGTTTGACATTGAAATTTTTTTATTCAATAAATGCAAGCATGAGTATCGGATATGAAATTTGATTCTGACAAGTTTTAATGCTTAAAAGTATTCATATGAGTTTGATTTTGAGAATGAGAACTGTATCTTAAAAGTGATGATTTTCTCGTATGTTTGAAAATGGTTTTAAAAAGTGACTTTATACAAAACACTGGTTGCTAACAGCAGTTCCATTGGCCCTTGGTGCACCATGGTACACCTAACTAGCAGGGTGTTTATGGGAGGTGCTAGCCCCGTGCGATGGTCAACGCACATGGAATAAAGGGATGGTTATTCATGAGCATAGTACTCACGTTTGTTTTGTGGCTCTGGCCGCGTTTGGTTTGTATTACCCTCATGGACTATGTGTTCACGTTTGTTTCGTAGCTCTGGCTGCGCTTGGTTACTTATTTTCGTGGACTGTGTGTCCACGCTTATTTCCGTGGCATAAGCAGCGTTTGGGTATTTATTCTCATAGATTATGTGTCCACGTTTGATAATTGTTCTGATAAGCCCTATAATTATAATTTTATTATTTGGTGATTTTATATTCTATTGGTTCTCATTTAGCAACTTATTTATAAGTATTTATTTCATTTACATACTTTCTTGAAATCAATTGATAATAACAATTTTTATGATAGTTCAATGATTTACGATTTTATTTAATTTTTATAGAGCCATTTCATTTCAAAGCTTATGAAATTTCTATGTAAGAAGTTGCCTCTTTGGTTACATAATTATTTTGAACTTTTTGTTTATTCATGATCAATTATTTATTGTTGGGACGATATTCACTGAAAAAATTTATTTGGGTCTCAGATTTGTTAGCTGATGTCGATTCCACCATTGATTTTGAAGGGCAAACTAGCTACAGTGGGTGGAAATTTTTGATTGGTACTGTTACTTTTAATGTAAATACATAATTTGTATGTGTTTTTGATTTAAAAGAAAAAGTAGATGCTCCATATAGATTGTTGTTAGGATTTTATTTTGATCTATATACTGTTGCTGGCTGGAAGGAGCTAAGCTCCTGATTGATACTGTTTTTTTAAAAAAATTTTGTTATAGAACTTTTGGGAGATCGTATTTATAGGGAAGGTTCTGTCGAAATTTCAAAAAAAAAATGTTGAAGTCTTATTATGACAATTAATATTAATAGCGTTAGAATTTTTATACAATCTGATTATTTTTAAAATGAAAGAAATTTTTATTTTAAGGCTTACGAGAATGTGTGATATAGTTCGCACCCATGCCAGTCACTCTCTATTTTTGGTGTATGACATAAAATCTTTTTTTAAGGCAAACTTCATGAAATTTATATAATCTCGACTTCAAAGAATTTAAATGCCCAAACATATAATTTAAGGAAAATGACAATTATGAACCTATTTACGAAAAATCTACCAAATATACTTGAGATTATTTATAACATCAATTAAGAATTTATGATAATCAGTTGTGAATCATAAGTCAATTATTTATAATTTTTTGCTATCACTTGAAAAATCAACAAAAAATAATTAAAAATCTTTGCAATATTAATTAGGAATTTACTAAAGTCTATTATAAATCTCAATCAAATAAATAAAAGATAATTTATTATAAGTAAAGACTACAATCTATTATTAAAATTTTAATAATTTAAGGTTTGTAATTGTCATTAATATTTTTATGATGTTCTTAATTGTCATTTTCCCCATAATTTATTTAGTCAAGTCAAAGGAATATATGCCCCTGGTTCCAGTTGAAGCTATCATCATGTATATATGTTCTGCACAGTTACATATAGTTAAAAATTTGTAATCAATATCTAAACAAAACAAAAAGAAAAAGAAAAAAAAAAGTCGTATAGGAGCATGTGATATGAATATTAATCACCCCAAACATGTAGCAAATTTTGTAAATCCATATTGATTGTTGTAGTAAGATAATCAAGTATCAACTTTTTCATCGCATTAATTAGTTTTCGCTTTTCAGAATATTCCTACTAAGAACTTACAATAAGATGAACACTGTTGTAATGACATTATTTACATGAAGAACCTAAGCCCTACGAAAAAGGCCCCTGAACTTAATCGCCTGAGCGTCGACAGTAATATGACAGTCTTTGAAGTTAGGGCCATTGAAATTACCTTGAGTTTGTCCTGAATTCAAAATAACATTATTTTTCTGTGCTGGGACCAGAATTGCCGCGATAGCATTCTTGCTTTGCTTCTTTTGCTTCACAACATCCTGTGGTGGAGGCATGCCTGATACATGATTGCTGGAACACAAACCAATTCGTTGTATATTATCGTAATTATCAAATTCATAGTATGGGCCAGAAAGATCAACGTCAATGCCTTTCAAAGGATGACTTATTATTCGAATATAATATTTAAGAAAACCCCCTTCAAACCCAGTAATGAATTTTCAAATTCTCCTCCGTTTACCGGATAACCATGTAACTGACCTTTTCTATGTTGAAATTTATCTTCATAACTGAAATGGAAAAGATCTGCATGAACCATTTGCTCTATAAAACTCCCACTTGATTTATCAATTAGAGCATTCTGAAACAGGAGTGAGGGTCTCTAATATGTCCTTCTCTAATACCTATTGTAATGCCTCAAGTTTTCACTTTTGTTTTTTGTTTTTCTTTGACTCATTAGATTTTACTTAAAACAAGAGACATTTGGCTATCTTGAAGTTCCAAAATGATAAAGATTTGTATTTTCTACAATTTTTTAAAGAAAAATATTAGAATTATACCCTTTTATTTTGAAAAATCTTAAAAAATACAAATCTTTATTATTTTAAAACTTCAAGAAACTCAAATGTCTCTTATTTTAAATAGAATCTAATAAATTAAAGAAAAACAAAAAATAAAATTGAAAACTTAGAACATTATAATATATATTAGAGAAGTATATATTAGAGGCCCCTGCCCTATGACTGTGTCTCTCTCGAACTCCATGTCTAGCTTTACTGTATTACCTTTACGCAAGCGATCACGGAATGTGAAAAGCACCTTGTTGGCGTACGCTCTGAAATGAGAAACGGAAGTGTGTGAAGGATTTGAACGAGAAGCGTAAATCAGTGCGTACTCATCACAGAATTCTCCATTTGACCATGTGTAAAGCTTAGTTCTAACTGTCGGGTCCTCGACCTCACGAAAGCGCGTCAAGCACGGCTCAATTAAGTACCCATGCATTTTTACGTGCGTTTGAGTTCACCAACACATGAACTTACGGAACAAGAGACTTAAGAGATCGTCTTCAACACGAGCAAATGCTTGATGCTTGTATTGAGGTCGGCATAAACTAGCATAAATGCTTGAGAATAACTTCTGAAAAGGAAGAATTACCATCAATTAAATGGAGCTTTGGTTGTTAAAAATATTCAAATCCTTTTTAAACCATCTAATTCAGTATATAAAAAATAAAAACTAGGCTTAAAGGGCAAATTTTCCCCGCAGCTTATAATTGGAACAACGTTACCTTATAAGTTTTAAAAATGATACAATATTACCCTACAATAATAATTGACCAATGTTGACTATTATTTGAATTTGACTCAATTGAATAGCAATTTGGTTCAAATGGCAATTGGCATCATAAACTTCCTATTAGGGCAATGTATTTTGGGTTATTAATATTCAAATTAAAAGAAAAACATCTAACCTTTCATTGTCATTGTTAAAAATAGTTCATATTTATCAATTTTGAAAAAGATCTTATTCGAGATTGTTTCGACCAAAATATAATAACCTTGGAATTAAAAATAAATAAGTATTTTATTATATTTTAATTGTTGTTATATTATTTTTGGAACAATTATCACAAGAAAGAATGTTGGTATGGTGAAAGTATGTCGCATCTGTTGGAGCATATAGGGAGATTTTTTTTTTTAATTCTTTTCAACCTTCAAAATTACCAAAATGCGATCCGCCTATCAGGTATATTTTTTTCTCTTCTTTCTCCTTGATTAACCACGTTTCTGTCTCAGAGTGAGGGAGAGAAAAATCTGGAAAACCTCAAGTGCGATCTGTCTTCGTTTCTTCTGTAAGTTTCGATTCCTTCCATCCCTTCGTTCCTTGCTGTCGCTGTCGTGAGAGCCGAGTTGCTGTGAGTCCGCCGTCGCAGCTCCGCCGTTCTTGAAGCTTCTTTCTGTTCTGCTTCTCGCAGCCAAACAACTTTCTCCGTCCATTCTTTTTGTTCGTGTGTGGTGATGATGCGAGGAGCTGATTTGGTGCCATAGGAGGTTCGTATTAGGAGATTTAAAGGCTATATACCACTGTCTTCTTCCTTCACTGTTGAGCTGCGAGAATTCCGTCTCTTCCTCTGTTTCTAGCTTCACTGGTTTAAGGTAGGAATTCCAGATCCTTTCCTCTTAATTGTCTTCATGCCTTTATGGCTTTATGTTGTAATGAATGAGACTTTGATGCTTTTGTGGGCTGCTGTGTGTACGTGAACAAGGAAGAAAAATTCATTAAGTTGAATCTTTAGGTATTAGAAGGGAGAGGATGATGGCGTGGATTAAAGCTCTAATTAAATTTGATTTGTTTATTGATTATCATATTGATATTATAAAAAAGTTTTGGAAGTTAAATTGAAGAAGAAGAGGTTGGTATTTGTTTAAGGAATTGGTGCTCATAAGGTGTTTGATAAATTATCCATTAGGAGAGTTTTGCTTGAAATTACAATTATTAAAATTTTATTAAATTCATTGGAAGACGTAATTGGTTGGGATGCTATTATCTTATGAATTTAACTTGAAAATTTCAAAAGAAGATACTTGAGTAGGAATTTTTCTATAACCTTGTTGGATCTCGCAAGAAACATGAATTGGCTTGGGTGTTGTTCATTTATGAAATTAAATCGAATGTTGCGAAGAAATTTATCTAGGTTATTGAGAGATTAATTAGATTCTTGAGAGTTTTATGGTTGATAATTTATAAATCATAGTATTATCATATGATTTAATTTTTGGACGTGTATGTTATAGAAGTATACTCAATATGTTTTTTTTTGGGTCAGGTATACTCAATATGTTAGATAAGAGGAGTAGACATATGAGGTAACTATGATATTAGAGAAGCTTTTAAGACATGGATTTTGGTTTTTTTTTAAAATTTTATTGTTGTAGTTAATTGGGGTTTGTCTTGATTTAATTTTTCATATGTACAAAAATATATTAATATAGGGTGTTTAGAGGAAGAGAATCTTGATAAAAGTGATAAAGAGTGAGCTATAAAAGTTAGAAAGACTTATCAAGTAAATGGATAACGTTCTAATAAATTTATATATTAGAAGGTTTTCTTTATCAAAATATTATTTTTAATAATTTATAGATATTTGTATATTTCTCTTGCTTTAACTACTTTTGTTAATTAAATTACTCTATTTCTTAAATTTATGACTTATACTTTTTATATTGATGAAAATATTTTTATAAATTCTAGTAGTCTTGTATTTGATAAAGCCAACTATGAAAATGTGTGAACAGTTTATGAGATATTAATTATAAATTTTTATATTTAGAAATATTGATGCTTTTATATGTTTCATGTGAGTTTGATATTAAAAAGAAAAATTATATTTTGAAAGTGATGATTTTCTTGCATGTCTGAAAGTAGATTTAAAAAAGGACTGTATACAGAACGTTAGTTGCTAACAGCAGTTCCATTAGCCCTTGGAATGCCATGGTCAATTACTAGCTAGTTTGATTTTCGTGAGCTTTGTTCTCATGTCTGTTATTCATAGGTCTTGTACCTACGTCTATTTCGTGACTTCGACCACGTATAGTTAGTTACTTTCATAGATTATGTGTTCACGTTTATTTTGTGGCTTCAGCTGTGTTTGGTTACTTACCCTCGTGGATTGTGTGACCATGTCTGTTTTGTAACTTCTGCTATGTTTGGCTACTTACCCTCGTAAATTGTGTGTTCATGTTTGTTAATTGTTCTGACAACTTCCTATAAATATGAATTTGATTATTTAATGATTTTATATCTCATTGGTTTTTAATAAGTAATCTAATTTATAATTACTCATTTCATTTATTTGCTTCCTTAAAATTAAGTGATAAC